TTTAGTTTTTTAGGTAATCCCCAGAAATTTGTTATGGTATAAATTTATAACTCAAGCTATAATACAGATCACATGAAATCCTCAATAAAAGCATGGTTCATCCACTTTATTTTTATGTTAAGCTGAAAGATTCTAACTTTTCTTAATTTAAGAAATAAATAAGGGGTTTTATGTAGTATGAAGTTTTATTCTCCGTTCTAAATATGTTTGGTAGTCATTTGAACTGTACTACAAAAATGATTAATGCATACCTACTACAGAAAGATTCTTATAGCTTACGAGAATCATTGTTTGTGGTTTTGGTCAGCAGAGGATGATTTTCTATAGAGGAAAGGGAAAAATCATTGGATATTTCTACATCCAGATTTTCCCTGGTTTCAGTCAATCCAGACACAGAAGAGAATCCTGAGATTTCTAGCTAAATTAGACTTTGTTTACCCATAGTTGATACGCTTTAGCCCACAGTGGCTCCATTGTCAGGGGCTGATTTGTGGGAGTTAAACAGAACCAGGTTAGATCTCCTGTGTCTAGAGCCATCTTTCCTTGTTTCAGATACTCAGGTATATTAAAGCTTTATGGAGATGTTATTGTATTGTCATGTAGGGCACACTGATCTGCATAAGTGGAGGCTTATGCTGGTTATAATGCTGCTCTTAAACTTAATAAAAGTATATAAGGAAGCTTGGCATTTTTTTTAAAAAAGTGTCATTTCCTTTTTTATTATTATATTAGGATAATCCCATGACATCAATTTTAAGATGCACTCATACTTTTAATATTAATTCTTGTATTTTAGCTATTTGATGTTTGAGTAATTCTGTGCAAAGGAAAGACCATGTTAATGAGACAAGTGATGACAAGTGATAGAATGGTGTGTTGTGGCATATTTCAGTTAGAAAGCAGACTAGAGGTGTAATTTTCTGGTGGGAAGTATCTTGTTTCAAGAAATTCGTTCTTTGTAGTATAGTTTATATATGTTACTTCCTTTGATTCTTACAATAACTGTGTAATTGCTATCTCTAATTTGGAGTAGAGAAAACCAGAAGTAATTACCATTATCTTATGGTTACATTAAGAGAATTTTATTTCTATATTTTCTACAACACTTATATTTTCTATGTGAGCTTTATGTACATGTGTTTGTTCTGCAGGGAACTATAGTTTATACAGTTGCTTTTTAGTCACAATTTTATCACAAAAGTAATATAAATAGCATGTTTCAGTCAAGGACAATAGGCACATGTGTATCTGTGTGGTGATGTATTTTTAAGTATTTATGGAGTGTAAGGGTGTAATGGTAGCTCTATATAGTAACAGTCATTGTGTGTTTTTTAACCCAAGATTTCATTCCCATACAAATGAGCTCTGTGAAATTATTATGGCAAAACTACCAATGTTTGTCTTTCACTTAATTTATCTGCACTTCATAAAAATGCTTAAATATTACTTCATCATCCTTAAATTTGCTTTGCAGTATGTGAAGTCTATGAAATAATTCTTGAATATTTATGAAGTAATTCTGAATTTTGCAGGTGTTACATACCCTTAGGAATATGTAGCTTTATTTGGAACAGAATCCTCTGTTTTTTGCATGATTTTTCATTTTTTAAAACCAAGTTAAATTCATTCATCTATATAAAAAATCCAGTTATATTGACATCAGTTTTTGTATCTCTCTGCAGTAGTTTTGTTAGGCATGAAAGTTCCAGTGGTTCACCATGTCCTGATTGAAATGCTAGGAGAATTGTTTTATAGGTAATATATGTGTATCAATATATATATGTTGTGTATCCCCACTGTAAAGGTCTATTTTGCAGAATGCTTGGATAAAATCAGCCAGCTGCAGTTGATAAAAAAGAACTAATCCTTAAATGAGTAGATTTTAGGGACTATGGGTATAGCACAGTTATAGAGTGCTTGCTTAGCATGCATTAGGCCCTGAGTTTGATCCCCAGCACCACTAAGAAATGGAGTCTGGGTGGATATTAAGGATCCATACCCCACTTTACATACAAAACACAGAAAATTATATATGTGAGATTATACATCTGTTAATTATCTTGATTTTGCAATTCTGCAACCTATACTTACATTAAAACATGTTGTACAGTGTGTGTGTGTATGTGTGTGTGTGTGTGTGTGTATGTGTACATATGTATATATATAAAACTTTTGTTGGTCAATTAAAAAGTAAGAGAAGTGACATAACTCCATAGAACAGAGGGTGAAATAGGAAAGCTATAATTTGATTATTCACTAGAAGCAATTACCCTTATCTACAGGGATAGATGAAGATAGTAAACTTTATTTTACATTGTACCTGGACTAGAAGAAAAAATAGTATGTAAATGTTTCCAGAACTTTATAACTGGGGAAAAAGGCAAGAAGTGATTTCTGATATATATCCCTCAATAAAACATTTCCAAAAATAATCTTAAGCAACTTTATTTTATTTTTCCTGGTGCTGGAATTCAGGGTGTTATGCACTCTGTGACTGAACTACATCTCCACCTCCACAAAATAATCTTAGGGAAAAAATACCCTTTCTTAACTTTTATGTTGTTGTTCTTGAGAAAAGTTAAGTATGGGAGTTATCTATTTCAACAAAGAAAACTGTGCAGCATCAGTGCAGGATCAATACTTTATATGCCTGGTGGTATAATAGTGGTGATAGGCTACCAATTGAAGGTTGTACAAGTTAGAACTCAAATCTTTTTTTATTGACATAATGTTCATTTTAGGTGATCTAAGTTTCTCCTTCAGTAGTTCTGTGCCTATGATATTGTTTTCCTCAGACTGGAGCAGGTGTTTGGCTGATGAGGAACCTATGGGATGGGGGTACTATCACACCTTGTTTCTCAAAGTAGGATCTGTGGATGAGCATCAGCATTATCTAGAAAGTTGTTAGATATACAGTTTTGGCCAGCTCTGAGATTACCCCATCAGAATCTGCTTTTAAACGAATTCTCCAGATGATATGCATGCATTTTAAAGTTTGAGAAGTTCTGCTATAGAAGTCATATGACTTGGCCTCTGGATGATGGACAGACATTTCTGTACCCAATGTTGTAAGGAGATAAAGTCTTAGAAATTATTAGAATAATAAAACAAATATTCACCTTTAAGGCATAGTTCTCTTTAGAGATTGTCCAATTTCTGTAGTAAAATGTTTTTAATGCATTTCTGTACTTTGTTTTTAATCTTATCCACAAAAGAATATAAACTGTGCTTGTTCAGTGAGATAGTGGGTCAAGCTTTTCTCAATGAATTTATGGTCAGGCACCTATCCTTGAAATTTAGGTTCCTGCCATAAGCAAAATTGTTATTCTGGGATGTGACCATGCAAATGTATTAGCTAGAGTGCCCCCATGTGTGGTTAAAGAGAGATTAAGAATATGGTGCTCATTTCAGCTAGTTAACCTTTTTCTATCAAAGTAAATACATCATAGTGTTTCAGTATATTTAGTGGATGCTAGAATTTAGACCAAGAAATGTTACTGTCTAGATATAAGTACCTTCCCCTGTCAAATTTAATGTTAATTTTTTTTTTTTGCATACTCTACCTTCATTTTGTTTAAGGAAAACTCTTTTGTTTGCCTTTTGCTTCCAATATTTAAAACCACCCTTCAATGTCACTCAACTTCTGAGATGACTCCAGGAGTGAATTGACATTTCTGGTGGTTGCCTTGGTGTGTCACTTTGTTTTTAGGCAGGAATCCCTCAGTACAGAGTTTTGCTCAGTAGTATAAGCAGTAAACCACACAGGAAGGGAAACTATTCTTGTTGAACCTGGGGTTGTGCCTGGCTCTTTCATATATGCTGGGAAGGGGAGTACGGTAGGGTCTAGGGTTTGAAAATCACTGTCAGCCTAAGAACACTATTGTAACTACTGTTAACCTAAAGACCTTCCGTAACCTTCCTTTGTAAAATATAAGAAAAAGATTACTTTTTCACAAAATTTTTTCTTGTCCCTACCACACAATTTTGATTTTTTATCCAGTAATTTGTATGGCACACGTGACCCAGAAACCTCTGTGGTAGGAGACAGCTGCACATAGTCACTAAATGTAAAATGTCTTCAACATGTGGGACCTGGGACAAGACATAGAGACATAAAGCTACCTCCTAAGAACATAGAACTTTCTGGCCATACGTGTGAGTGATATATCAAACATATTAATGATATAGCAGAGAAGGGACCATACCATAAAGTTTATTGCAGACAGGAATTATAAGAGAAAATGATGATGTAGTACAAGGTTGTAAATGTCATTTTCTTCATTTACCATGCTGAATATATTACTTTTTGAAGTTTGTATATAACATATTTTAAAAATACTGATGTTAGAGGTGGGATTGTGGCTCAGTGGTAGAGTGCTTGCCTAGTGTGTGTGAGGCACTGGGTTCGATTCTCAGCACATTTAAAAAAAAAATAAGGTCCACCAACAACTAATAAAGTATTAAAAAATACTAATATTGGGATTTATTGGCTCACTTATGCCAAAGATCTTTTTCTCTATAAATTCTCAGTCACAGACTTAATTCCTGAGTTTGGGAGATACTGCTATATATTTTATATTGATTTGATAGTTTTTCCCTATTAGGCTGTTATTGGGCTGGGGTTGTGGCTCAGTAGTAGAGCTATTGCCTCACGTGTGTGAGGCACTTGGTTCAATTTTCAGTACTGCATATAAATAAATCAATCAACAACTAATATACACACAATATGTATATATATATATATATACACATATATATGTACATAATTAGTCTTATTAAAGGAAAATAAAATATTGTTAGAGACCCTTGCTTTCATGATGTTTTAGGGGAAAATACATTTTGACTTACACAGGATTTAAATGGCAACTTGCTAATAGATAATTTTAGGAGATTATTTAAGTTTCCACTTAGGATTAGTTCAAATACTGTTGTGATTTTACTGAAAAGTGCTATGTAGTCACATCAGATTGTTCCACACTCATGCCCCTTTTGCCCTACAGGAAAATGACTCAGGCACTTTGGACACGGTGGGCGCTGTGGTTGTGGACCACGAAGGGAATGTTGCTGCTGCTGTCTCCAGTGGAGGCTTGGCCTTGAAACATCCAGGAAGAGTTGGGCAGGTAATTAATTACAGGATTCATACACTAGTTTTCCAAAATGAAACATGAAATTTTCTAGTTCACAATTTTTAAACCACTAGGGATATATTTTTCCCATTAGGAAAAGTAATCATTATTCTTTAACTTTTGTCTAATATAAATTAAAAAAAACTTTTCAAAATAATTTCTTAAAAAAATTCTGTCTAGTATTGATAGGGTTCTTTCTGATCTTTACAACTGGTAATCCTAGTTTTACTACTTTCAATGGGCTGAGTACTGACCTGAATATTTAGTAGATATTTAATAGATGTGTGTTGATTTTCATTGTCAATTTTGTGTGTGTATATGTGTGTGTGTGTGTGTATCACTCTCTTTAAGACCAAGCTTTATTTGCTTGCTTTTTAGTTAAAAAAATGATTTTAGAGTTATATTTTTTTATTTTTTCCATTCAAGTAATCGTAACATTTTGTTTGACATTCTACATCTCTCTTCTGATTAATCATTTTAGGCATTTTGTAGAATAACTAGAATTTCAGGTCACTAACACATGAAATGTAGAAATGAGGATGGTCTGATTTGTGTGACATTTGCTTATTTCCAGATCTCTTACATCTTCTTCACCCCATCCTCCCCATTTCCAACCTTCAGTTTTATATTGAGAATAAAATTTAAAAATTCATTTGAATGTTCTAAGCATTCTGAGTATAACCAATTTGGCCTATTACTTAGGGGCTTAATTAATAAGTGTTGAGTATTGAGTGAACAAATTAATTATTCTCATGGAGTCTTTTAAACTAGTTGCGTGGAGGTATTTTTTAAAACTAAGTATTTGGATTTTGTCTTGTGTATGCAGTATGGCTTATCATGCTGTGTGCCCCTCACATATGAGAAAGAGTCAGTGTCACAGTTGCTATGGTTATGATGGTTAGTGATACTTGAAGCAGTATGTCTGATTCAGGGAAGATACCTTTGCAAAGCCCCTAGGAATATTCCTTGATCTTCCCTTTATGTGGACAAGTCACTTACAGTTCAATACTAGGGGGAAGTGGAAGGGAAGAGTAATTACTTTTGTGCTACACTTTGCCTACCATACAGGGGACTTATGGAGAATGATTACCCAACAGTGCTATGAACTCACGACAGAAGTCTTTGTATATCCACAGTATTTTTCCACATTATATAACCTGTGTATTTTTCAAGTTTGGAATAATATACTCAAGCTTGGCATATCGTATTTGGATGCCCTCGTGGAGGAGAGAGAAAAGCCAACAGAGTTGCCTTCATTGCCTAGTAATTCCCATGATTTTCTCATTGTTTTCTGTTTGTTTTAGTTAGCAAGTAGCAATGACAGAACCAAAGATAGTTCTGGACTATGTTACCAGACTATAACATTTAAAAATCTTGAAGCCATTCTACTACCACACATGGGACTATTCTGGAAAAAGAATACTTCTGTAAAATTTATGTGTTTATTTGCTCCACTTGGCTAATTTATGAATATACAACTGTGAGAGCTGAACAAAAAATCAGAAAAGGACATGGGGGAAAGGAGTCAAGGTACTTACAGGAGACGAAGCTGTTTAATTGGATTATATTGCTGGATAAAGGAGATGTGATTAGCCTGAAAATATGAATCATCAGATGAGAGGTAAAGAAGAGTTTTTCACAGAATGAAACAAAATACAAAAGCAAATTGTATCAAAGGTTAATTATTTTTTCAAAATGTGTTGAATTCAGTGCACTTTAAATGCTTAAATTAACTACTTAAAATTTTAGCATATTACCCTGTACTGAAAGCACTGCAGATGAAAAAATAGCAATTTGGATTAGAACTTCCTTCTTTAGTTCACTATAATGATTACACTCACAATTTGGACACAAGAAAGGAATTATTACATTCCACTCCCACTTCCCCTCATGTCACCCCATATAAACACACAATGAGTTTAGTGGGTAAGAGTATGGACTTTAAATTCAGGTAAACCTTTATTCTAATCCCATCTCTCACTTTCCTTTCTCCATACCTTGAGTAAATTACTCAACATCTCTAAGCTCCACTCTCTCTAAGTGTAAAATGAGGATTCTAGCTACCTTACCAAGTACTAGAAGATTATATGATGTAACACTGTAAAACTGTGTATCATAGCCCCTAGTTATAACATCCATAGCTACTGTTTATGAAGCACTTGCTTTGTGTAATAGGTTGTTAATTTATGTGATCCTTTGGCAAAACTATGGTAGTGCATATTTTTATCATCTTTATTTTATAGAAGGAGAAACAATGGCTGTTTAGTAATAATAATCACTTATATGACCTACTTTTACTCCACAATAATAACCTTAATAAAATTTTACTACCAGAAAGAAGGAAACTTTTAAAAATTTTATTTTAAAGTCCTGCTTTTGATGTGTTTTCAGCAAAGAAGTAGATAAGAGAGAGATAACATCTTGTTCTTTCTCTCATCTTACCTGCGACTGCCTCAGCCTAACCAATTTCAGAAGGTTAAGAAGGAAGACAACTCGAATTCATGATATTAAGGGAGGGCATTCTAAAGGGAATTTGCTTAGAAGAAACAGAGGGAAGCATAAATATTCTTACTTTCCTAGGGAGACGACTTCCACTGGCTTACTAAGGGGTATTTTTGTAGATTTTTGTACTAGTTTTTTTTTTTTTTTTTTTGAGTGCAGACTCCTGGTCAAAGTAATTGAGAGGAATGGAAATGATGATGGGAAAATGTTCAGAGTTTTCAATGAAGAATGATGAACCTTTCCACTAGGGTCTTGTGTTCTCTGAGACTTTGTCTGCCCTAGCACCTGCTGCAAAGAGTACCAGTTGAATGATTACTGTACAAATCTGCTAGTATTATTCTGAACTCCATGTGCTAAATCACTTCTAAAGGGCTTTCAGTTGCCACACTGGCCCAGCAGTTTTGGGAAATGAAACTAAGGCATGTATTTTAGAATCATAGTGTTTTCAAAGCCTGTAACAGATTTCCCACTGTTTGTCATATTTGAAGTGTCCTGTTGAGTTCTTGGTTCTATTTTTTTTTTTAACAAGACTTTTGTTAGTAAAAACTAGAAAGGGCAACTGTAGGTCACATGAATAAATATCCTGGATTCTGAATTATTTCTCAAGAAAAGTGATTAAGAGAGGAGGGGAGGTTGTTTGTCTGAAAATCTTGGGGAATAGCTCACAATTATATGGAAGTTAAGGTATTTCCAGAAATCAGAACCAAGACTAGTAGATAGAAGTTATAATCAAGCTAATCAAGCAGATATTTGTTCAATCCAAGGATTCCATCAGTGGAAAATGTCCAATAGGGGAATATGTTGTCACATTAGGTAGTTAGATCCTATGCCTGGGATGTTTCCTACTCTGGGTAGAATATTGGAGCAACTGAGTTGTAAGGTCCTTGTGAAAAATAACAGAATATCAAAGTAAGCTGAAATCTTCCTGGCCACCAGTCCCAGTCTTAGCCTAGTCCTTAGAAGTGAGTTCCCAGAAGATAACAGTACTTTTCATGGGAGTATCTTTTTCTCTATCAGTGACAGTGAATACTGAATGTATTATTGTAACTTGCTTTTTTTTAAAATTCAACAATATGTTTGGAGATATTTCCATATCCATTCCTAAAGATTTTTTAAAATCTACTTGTTTTATTTTTAACCTGTGCAACAAATTCCATGTATTTCTCTGCCAAAGTTTATTTAGCCTTTCTTTATGGATAGAAATTTAGTTTTTTTTTCCCCTGTATTTCATTCTTACTAAGCATGTGGTAATGAACTCGTTGAGTTGGCTCCTTGTATTTTTGCAATAGCTAGCCAAGGGTTTTTACTAATTCTCTTCTGAGGAGTGAAAAAGTTATTAGTTATGAGTCCCCTCTCAAAGACAGAGAAGTCATTGTGGATGTTGTGGTGATGAATGTAGACATTCTGGATAGGATTATTGGAAACAAAATAGAAATGATTGTTAAAATCTTTTATATAAATCATAATAGTTTACTGTGTTCCTGGTCATTTCAGACTGATAATCTGTTCTACCACCTAACAAAGTGATTAGCTCAAACAGGCCTTTTTCCTTTCTTTCTTTTCATATGGCAGAATCTAACACAGTGATGAACATATACTGAGCCCTGTGGTATAGAGTGGTGTGAAGTTCCTATTGTGCTACCCAAATGGAGGCATGGAATAGGACTCCTGAAACAGGATTTCCTAGACAGTGGTTAGAAGGATTATCTGCATTTCTGTACTCTAAGGCCATGTCTTCTCTCAGACACTGAACCAGACAGAATCTCTAGAAATTAGGGTTCTTATCAGCAAGTTGCCCAAGTAATTCAACATGCACTGAGTTTAAAAACCACCTGTTTTAAGGCAACCACACTGATTTCAAGAGACCAGAAGAGCAACTAGCTAACGAACTACAAAAGGAAAAAGTATTTTCAGGGAAGGAATACATTGCTGATGAGACCAAAAAGACTGTATTTTGCTATTTTCTGAGAATGTTTGGATAGGTAGAATAGCTGCAAATGTATTATTTATTTTAATTAATTAATTAGTGTTATTTTTTGATTTGCATATAATATTTGTACATATTTATGAGGTATAACATGATATTTTGATTTATGTATACTCTGGGGTTATCAAAGACTGAGGAGAATAGGGAGGAGATGGGTGGGGAGAGGTTGGTAAACAAGTACCATATTACAGTTAGAGAGGAAGAATAACTTATGGTGTTCTGTGACACAGTGGAAGAAATATAATTAATACTATTGTATTGTATATCTCAAAACAGAAGAAAATGTGGTTTTGAGAGTGTTAAAACCATTGCATAGTTTGCATAGACTCTTTGGCATTATCATTAAGTTGTTCTACATCATTAGTAAACCAGACTTTATTAGATGGGCATGACTTTGTTTCTTCTGTTGAAAGCTGATAATTACATATAATATTCCTGAAATATTATATCTCCCCATTTCCTTTTTTCCTAGGCTGCTCTTTATGGATGTGGCTGCTGGGCTGAAAATACTGGAGTTCATAATCCCTACTCCACAGCTGTGAGTACCTCAGGTATTTGCTGATTTCATGACCATTTTTCATAACTGCAACCCTGTCAGTCATTTAATGACTAAAAGCAATATTTTTAGGGAAACATAAAATATGTTGTAAGACACTACATATACAAAAGCTTTGATGTGTGTAAAAAGATCTTGAGTTTTGGGGAGGTTTTAAGGATTGTTTAGTATCACAGTGTAAATGGTTTGCTAACATTTTTAGTACAACTCTGGAGTTAAGTATAACTTAATTATTTGTATATCAATGTATTTTTTTCTGTAATAGCCCACAACAGTGTCAAATGGATGAAAATGATATATAAACACCAAATAATTTACAAAATTAACAGATCTTTTATTGTATTTAAAATTTTTTTTAGTTGTCGATGGACTTTTATTTTGTTTATTTATATGCAGTGCTGAGAATTGAAGCCAGTGCCTCACACATACTAGGCATGCTTTCTACCACTGAGCTATAACCCCAGCCAGCAAGAGATAATCTCTTGAGTAAAATGTTGACATAAAACATAAAAGGTTATATTTCAAAATGTATAGTTTATAACACCACTATTCCTCTCACTACACTTTTAATAAAATATAGACTCTCTTTTTGTGCTATATTAGAAAGTCATTATTATTTTATGAGAGAGAGAGAGAGAGAGAGTGTGTGTGTGTGTGTGTGTGTGTAGGGGTGGGAAATAGGGGGCTTCAGGGAGTTTTAATAGGCAGAACGATTTTCTATTTCCAAATTTTTATAACACTTGTACTAGATATATTCAATAGCTTTTCTTTTTATATGGTGATGCTGCCGCTTAAAATTATATTAGTTCCTCGCATTACCACGTTATCCTTCAAGTTATAGTCCTGTTCTTTTCTCCCCAGTATTCTCAGCTTTATCAGCTAGGTGGACAGATGTGACTGCTTTCACTTCCTTTTTTTTTTTTCTTCTATTTCTTTCCACATTGATTTCTGCCCAACATAGTGATAAACTGCCCACTGGGTCCAGTAGCCCACCTCTGCTTACTGCTTATTCTTTCTGTGGTCTTTGATGCAGGTATTGCCTGTAGCATAGAACCTGAAACTCTCTTGGTTTGTTCTACTTCTCTGACCTGCTGCACTTTGGCCTTCTTCACAGATTCTTCTTTTTAGTCCTTCTTCGATAATAATCTCAACTTGGTCCTCTACTAGAGTCTCACTTCTCCCCTCTTGATGACTTATTGTTACTATAGTTGTTCTCATAATTTCAGTTGGTCTCTCTTTGATATTGTCTTCCATATCTGTGTCTATTCTGGACATTACTCTTGTTTTTTTTTTTGGGGGGGGGTGTTGTACCAGGGACTGAACTCAGGGGCACTTGGCCACTAAGTCACATTCCCAGCCCTAGTTTGTATTTTATTTAGAGACAGGGTCTCACTTAGTTGCTTTGTACCTCAATTTAATGAGGCTGGCTTTGAACTTGTGATCTTCCTACCTCAGCCTCTTGAGCCGCTGAGATTATAGTTGTGCACCACTGTGCCTGGTATGGACATTACTATTGAAGTCCACATGAGTTCTTTCATGAGTCCTTCTTGTTGTACATGCCCCTATGAATATCATATATGTATGTCAGACTCAGTAGGTTGAACAGAACAACTTATTCTTTATCCTCAACCCATGGCCACCTTTTACCTGAATTTCCTAGCTTTTTTATTGCCCCTTACTAACCTATTCTTTGCTTAGCTTGAAATCTTGCCACAATTCTCAAGTTTGTTGCTTCTTTCCATTTCTACTCACCTGATCCTGCTATTTCAGACCTGTGTTCCCCTGCCCACCTGTTGTGGCTGCCTGCTGACTTCGCTTCTTTCCTTGCATCAGTGAAACAATAAGATTATGAGCCACTGGCCTACTGGGTGAAGTTTGGACACAATGTAATGTTGAATTTAAACCATTCTAATATAATTGGGAAAAATTTTGTTTTTAGTCTTTTATTTAGAGAAGATAAGCAGAATGTAATGAGTTAATTTCTAAATTTAATATTAATGGAATCTGAAAATCTTGATGTATAGTATTTATGAATTAGCCAGTGTACACAATTAAGTTTGCTCCTGTGTGTATGGAAAATAGTTGAATGTGAAAAAACTGTAGTCTAAAACATATAATTCCTTGTTTCATTTTTTATTTTCTCAAAGAGATTTTAGTTGGTATCATATATTGTGTCGATTTTTTTTTTTGGTTAATATGTATTTCTGTAAGTTAAGTTTATTGTCTAGATGTTGCTCTTATATATAGGTGTGAGGAACAGAAGTATATTTTAAATCAAGATTCTGAGTACCTGCCTGGGCCACTTTGAGATTACATTCCCTTGAGTTTATGTACCTCCATAGCCCAACACACTTTTTAAAAATTAGTGTCATAGAAGTTGGATAAAAGCTTACTTTGTCAATTTAATTCTATTAAGAGGAGTGTAATTTAAAGCTAAAATTATAAAAATGAGGTCTTTCCTTTTTTGTCTTGGATATTTTCTCATTTGTCCAACTGCATTAGTTGAGATAGTTCCATATGACTAAAGATACTTTTGAGTTACCAGATTATGACATCCAGAGTAGCCTTTTAACTTTGATATCCAGCTTATCATATTGCATCTTTGCAGGACTGGTGAGACATTAGGGTCATGTGGTTATGCTCAGAATTCTCTATCCCTGGGAGTTGATGCCTATATTAAAGGCCTCAACTGATAATTGCTGTCTGCCTTTGCAAATAGCCTCCCAGGCCGGCATCACCATAGCAACTGGGCCATCTTGACCTGTACCTTTGCACAGGCAGTTCACAGGAGAGTGCAGACATGAGAAAGTCAGAGGCCATGATTCAAATCATCATTCCCCACAAAGACTTGTGCCTCAGACTGTTGTAGAAAATCCAGAAAACTGATCAGCATTTTGGGTTTATGTATCTTGGAAAGTGATAATTGAAAAGCAGGATAAGCAGGATAGGACTCTATTGAGGCCAGAAAGGTGATTTGGTCATTAGCTTAGGGGATAAACTCCACCATCTTTTTCTCATTGTTGGTTGGGAAGGAATGAGTTGAGGGATAGAGTGACAGGAGCTGATCTTGTAAACTCTTGACTAATGTTCTGGTGTCAAGGGAATTTGCCTCATTAGGGATGGAGCAGGGCAAACAACTTGGTTCTTGTCCAGATTTACTAACTGTCGAACCTGAGCAGGGCATTATTTGTACAATAATGTGCAATATTATTTGCACATTATTTGGAATAATATCTACCAGTGCTGTGAGAACTGAATGAGATGACATATGGAAGATACTTAGTGTACGTCTTCATCCAGTGTTCCATTGAATCTCAGTCACTATCTTTTATAAAACACACTATTATTTTTATACCTCTAAGAAAAGGAAAAATGCAGCCAGTTGAAGCATGACACACTGCTTTCTCATCACTTAATTTTTTAAAATATTTTTTATACCTTTATTTTTATATGGTGTTGAGGATTGAACACAGTGCCTCCACATGCTAGGCAAGCACTCTATCATTGAGCTACAACCACAGCCCCTCATATCTTAATTTTTGGTTGTTACTTTATAAGTAAGTATAGAATTGGGTAATGAGAATTTTTTACTTCACTGATAATAAATTCACACCCCATTGCTATTTCCATGCCTTCCTACATACATAATCATTTTAAATTTCAGTTCTATATCATACTGTAATCATTTGAAACACATCTTAAATAGCAAGTAAACTGAACTCATGTAGTTCTAACATGGAACATACTGAACGGTCAACCAACAGGAACATGAGGCAGTGGCAACTCCATTACCACCGCAGCCCATAGGCAGCATGGGAGGATGCCATCAGTTGTAATGAACTCCTGATACCAGAACTTTTAAATATGAAAAAAGTGGAATTTGGAATTGACAGTCTAAAGATTTTCTTATTTTCAGCTTTTTGTGTGTGTGTGAAAATGAAAAAACGATTCAGGCCCTTTCAAAAGCAGAAAGATAAATGCTTGAGGAAAGAAGGGCCATGGATATATTTGTGTCTCCTATGTGTCTGGCACAGAACCTTGCACATGGTAAAGAGTCTAATATACAAATAAAAATTACTAAATGCATGTGTGATTCCAACCTCTTCTAGGATGCTTACTTTTTCTAAAAGATTATGTACCATAGAATTTTTAAAAATAGCATTTAAAATATGATTCAATTTTTCCAACTTTGTATTCACACATAATTTTTCAGTAGCACATCAGATACATGCTCTAAGATAACATCTGTGTTTTGTCTCTGGCTATGGAAAGGAAGAGCAAATAATCAGGATTAGAAGATCAGAGGAGGAAAAAATCAGATTAAATTTATGCTCTGGTTGACCTTAATTTTGGTCTTCTGTTATTTGTCCCTCCCTCTCTCCCATCCTTCCTTCCTTCCTTCCTTCCTTCCTTCCTTCCTTCCTTCCTTCCTTCCTTCCTTCCTTCCCTTAAAGAGAAATAGTGAGTCCAGAGGGTATTAATGGTATCTGATTGGAGGTCAAAAGATGTAAGCTTCAATCTGTTTCTTAAAGGGTTCTGATGTGAAGACAGATAGGCTACCTGATTTCTGTTACGAGGCCCAGTGATTTATGATTTTCTAGGTCCTTGGCTTTTTTAGGTCTTGGTTCTGGACAGTCCTAGGAACCTGAGGGCTGTGAGAACTATTACTGTGATTACTAGGAGTTGTTTTAGAGCTGAATGGGATTTTTAAAAATGCAAAAATTAAGAACAACCTTATACCTTAATATTTTTGAGCTCATGCTTTAGGTCTTCTACTGAAGGACTGGAAGAGTTTTTTTTTTTTTTTTTTTTTTTTTTAGTTTCTCAATATAAGGAGCTACCAAATGTCTCTTGCTCCTCTATGGAAGATTGTTCAATGGGTCTGTGCTCCAAAACTCCCTCAAGGGACTTTTCTCAGAAGGGGAAGAGGCACCTTCTTGTGAGAGGGAATTTAAATGAAAGCAGGAGCCAACATGAGAGTGTTGCTGAGATGTC